TCTGTGTACAGGAGTGTGTGCATCTGTGTATAGGGGTGCATGTGTGTGAGTGTGCATCTGTGTACAGGAGTGTGTGCATCTGTGTATAGGGGTGCATGTGTGTGAGTGTGCATCTGTGTACAGGAGTGTGTGCATCTGTGTACAGAAGTGCAAGTGTGTGAGTGCATCTGTGTACAGAAGTGTGTGCATCTGTGTATAGGAGTGCTTGTGTATGAGTGTGCATCTGCGTACAGGAGTGTGTGCATCTGTGTATAGGGGTGCATGTGTGTGAGTGTGCATCTGCATACAGGAGTGTGTGCATCTGTGTATAGGAGTGCTTGTGTATGAGTGTGCATCTGCGTACAGGAGTGTGTGCACCTGTGTATAGGAGTGCATGTGTGTGAGTGTGCATCTGTGTACAGGAGTGTGTGCATCTGTGTATAGGGGTGCATGTGTGTGAGTGTGCATCTGCGTACAGAAGTGTGCATCTGTGTATAGGAGTGCTTGTGTATGAGTGTGCATCTCTGTGTACAGGAGTGTGCATCTGTGTATGGGAGTGCATGTGTGTGAGTGTGCATCTGCGTACAGGAGTGTGTGCACCTGTGTATAGGAGTGCATGTGTGTGAGTGTGCATCTGCGTACAGGAGTGTGTGCATCTGTGTATGGGAGTGCGTGTGTGTGTCTGCATGTGTACGGGAGTCTGTGTATGTGTGAGCACACATCTATCCGGGAGAGCCTGAGTGTGCATCTGTGTAGGGGTACGTGTGTGTGCATGTGAGCTGCATCTGTGTAGGGGAGTGCTTGTGTGTGTGAATGTGCATGCATGACTGTGCATCTGTGTATAGGAGTGTGTGTGTGTCTGAACAGCTGAGAGGGATCTCGGGCAGAGGACGCGAGAGTGGGGCGGGGGCGAGACTTGGGCTGTGCTTGAGAACATGAAAGAGCGATGAGTCAATGCCGCATTGTTTTTCTAAACTCCTAATGCAAACAACATGTGGGGCAGGGCCCAGCTGGTGCCCAGGGAGCCCCTGACGGGGTCCTCAGGAAACAGGTGCTCCTGGAAAGCTTCCTGCCGCTGGGCTGTGGCGAGAGGGCGAGGCCACCATGCGTTTACGATCTTCAGGCAGGCCCAGCTGCAGCTGGGTGGGAATCCATGGCCACACGCCCCAGCGGTGCAGGCCTCAGCTGGGATAGGCTGCACGCCTTGGCCACACCCAGCTTCACAGGCAGATGGGAGGTGTGGCCCTGCAGTGCTCCGCCCACTCCGTGGAATCGTTGATGAGGGGGTTATGAGCATCTTTCATTTGCAAAGCTGTCACCAAGGATTCTCCCAACGTGTGGCTCCGATCATGGCGCCAGCAGCTGCGAATGCTTGGGGCTGTTTCTAAGTGCCTTCTACCACGTGGCAGAACCTCAGCCTTCGCATCCTTGCCAGTTTGAGAGGGCGATGGCACCTTCTAAGTTGTGGAGGCTAAGAAGAAAAAAGCGGGCCTGGCGATGGGGCACAGTGAGTTCGGCATCCCACACGCATGCAGGCTGCAGTCCCAGCTGCTCTGCTGCTGACCGGCTCTCTGCCAGTGAGGCTGGGAAAGCAGCACAGGGGGCTCAGGTAACTGGATTCCTGCCACCCATGTGGGAGACCTGGATTGTGTTCTCAGATCCCAGCTTCGGCCCTAGCCACTGCAGGCATTCGGGGCGTGAACTGGAGCAGAGGCGTAAAAGGGAGCTGCGCCCCCGACTCCATCCTATCTTGTCATTCTGCCTATGAAATAAATAAATCATTTTCAAAAGTTAGAAAAATGAAAGCTTTCCCCCTCACTATCTTTTTTTTTAAGATATATTTATTTGAAAGGCAGAGTTACAGAGAGGCAGAGAGAGAGAGAGAGAGAGAGAGAAAGAGAGAGAGAGAGAGAGAAAGAGAGAGAGGGAGAGAGAGAGGGAGAGGGAGAGGGAGGTCTTCCATCTGCTGGTTCTCTCCTCCAGATGGCTGCAGTAGCAGGAGCTGCACCAGTCTGAAGCCAGGAGCCAGGAGCTTCTTCCAGGTCTCCCATGTGGGTACAGGGGCCCAAGGACTTCAGCCATCTTCTACTGCTTTCCCGGGCCATAGCAGAGAGCTGGATTGGAAGTGCAGCAGCCAGGACTAGAACCGGTGCCCATATGGGATACTGGCACTGCAGGCAGCAGCTTTACCTGCTGCGCCACGTTGCTGGCCCCTATCTTTTAAATCCTGTACTAAGACAAATTTAAACAACTGCCTATATCATTCCATACTCCTAGAGCACTGGTCCCACACTCTCAACATTAAGTAATAGACTTAACCTTCAGTTGAGTCTCAGCACATTTTAACCGCCACAGGGGGATGGCTGCTAATCTCCCTGACCCTCCCAACCTGTGCCACCTCAGATCTCCTACCCTGATCTGCAGCAACTACACCCTTGCCAGGGTCCAGGCCGAAGCCCCGAGTCACTTTGAGTGTTCTCTAATTCTCACGCCGCACGCCTGCCTGGGCATCTACTGGAGGCTGCAAGGATAACCTGCCTGAGAGCCGGAGTCGGCAGCCGGAGCTGGCAGCCGGGAGGCAGGGGAGACTGAGGGGCTGAAGACAGTGTCTGGAAGCCACCAGTGAGCAGAGGAGCGATGTCCACATGGAGTAGGGTGAGACCGGAGAGGAGGTTCTGGGGGGACTGATGGCGAGCAGCCAGCCGCAAGGAGGGGACACAGCCAGAGCAGGCCTCCCGAGGCCATACCGTGCTCTCTGCAAGCAAATAAGCACAAACCCTGATCCATGGAGCTTGCTGATAGCCATGACATGAACACTCCCACTGTGGCCCACTTCAAGCAGCAACGTGGTGTCGTGGACCATGGCCTGGAGAGCTGTGCACCAATCACCTCTTGCAAACTGATAGGAGCTGGCTGCTGCTCACCACCGCCTGGAAACCAAGCAGAGAAGACCTTGCCAAAAGAGTTGTAAGAATGAAAGTGCGACCTGTTCAGTGCCGTCGAAGTGTCAGATTAGCTGAGAGCCTCCGTGGTGATGTGTGTAACATTCTGCCTCACAGAGATGTTCAGCCGAGCTCAGGCAAGATGCCAGGACAGTACAGCATGCCCTGTGTGCAAAGTCCAGACCTCCCAGGACAACGTACAAACCAGGGAAAGAAAGAAGCCACTGCTGACTGTGCGGCTTGTGCATTCTCAGTCTGTGCTGTTTTCTGACAGATGCACCCAGGCTATAACTGGCCCTCTAAGTATAGCTTTAACTGCGTTCTACAAATGTTTTTTTTTTTTTTTAAAGATTTATTTATTTATTTGAAAGAGTTACACTGAGAGTGAAGGAGAGGCAGAGAGAGAGAGAGGTCTTCTGTCCTCTGGTTCACTGCCCAGTTGGCCGCAATGGCTAGAGCTGCACGGATCTGAAGCCAGGAGCCTCTTCCGGGTCTCCCATGGGGGGTGCAAGGGCCCAGTCACTTGGGGCATCTTCTACCGCTTTCCCAGGCCATAGCAGAGAACTGGATTGGAAGTGGAGCAGCCGGGGCTCGAACAAGCACCCATATCAGATGCCAGCACTGCAAACAGCAGCTTTACCCACTACATCACAGCACTGGCCCCAGCATTCTATATGTTTTTATGTGTATTATTTTAATTATCATTTGTTGAAAATATTTTAAATGCAATCAAGCCTTTTTCTAAGGTTTTAGGGGTTTTGTTGTTGTTTTTCAAGATTTATTATTTGAAAGGCAGAGTCAAAGAAGTAGACAGAGAGAGAGAGACATGTCTTCCATCTGCTGGTTCACTCCCCAAATGGCTGCAATGGCCGGAGCTGAGCTTATCCGAAGCCAGGAGTCAGGAGTTGCCTCCGGGTCTTCCATGCGGGTGCCGTGGCCCAAAGACTTTTACCATCTTCTACTGCTTTCCCAGGCACATTAGCAGAGAGCTGGATCAGAAATGGTGCAGTCGGGACTCAAAGCGGCACCCATATGGGATGCTGGCATTCCAGGCGGCGACTTTACCTGCTACGCTATATTGCCAGCCTCTGGTGTTTTTGTTCTGTTTTGTTTTGTTTTGTTTTGTTTAAGATAAATGCTTAATTTCCAAACATCAGCACTTTCTAGTTATCTTTTTAATGATCATTTCTAAATTATGTTGTGAAATATACTTTTTTTAAAAAAAGATTTATTTATTTATTTATTTAAAAGAGCTACAGAGAGGGAGAGACAAAAGATCCATCTGCTGGTTCACTCCCCAGATGGCCGCAATGACTGGGGCTGGGCCAGGCCGAAGCCAGGAGCTTCTTCCGGGTCTCCCATGTGGTGCAGGGGCCCAAGCAGTTGGGCCATCCTCCGTTGCTATTCCCAGGCCATAGCAGGGAGCTGGATCAGAGGTGGAGCAGCCAGGACTCAGACTACTGCGGATATGGGATGCTGATGTTGGAGGCGGTGGCTATGTGCTATGCCACAACGCCGGCACCATGGATGTACTTTCCATGATTTCAGTTCTTTGAGATGGTTTTGAAACTTGCTTCCCTGTAACAGTTCATTTTGGTAAATTTCCCTGTGTGAGCTTGAAAAGGACATGTTGTTAAGTAGTTGTTGAATGCAATGCTCTACACGTGTCTACTAGGTCAGATTCGTGGATCATTGTGATCACCTTGGTGTGAGCATACCCCATTGACGTTTGCCTGCTTGTTGTGGAAGTTACTGAGAGAGATCAGAAGTATGTTAATGCCACCCACTATAATTTTCTGTTGTCCGTTGCTTCCTCTGGTTTTCATGCGTGTTGTCTCTGCCCATCTCTGGTTATTTTTATTGTCTGCTTCACGTTATAATTTTAAGCAAGGATCCGGCATTTAGCTTGGTAACTGAGGCACCCACATGTCGTATCGGAAGACGTGGATTTGAGTCCCAGCTCCAGCTCCTGACTCCAGCTTCCTGCCAGTGCAAACCCTGGGAGGCGGAGGTGACAGTGAAGTGACGGGGTTCTTGCCACCCACACAGAGTTGGGCTCGGTTCCCACATCTCCGTTCCAGGGCCAATCCAGACCCGGCCATTGCAGACTTGGGAAGTGAACCTGTGTGAGTGTGTGTGTGTGTGTGTACAAATAAAAAAAAATTCAAACCTTGTCAGTAAAGTGATTCAGCGTCTAGAACGCTCTCCTCTCCGTCCAGAACGGGGTCATGCTGCTACTCTTGGAGGCTGAGGGCACCTGCAATCCTGAATCCAGTTTTGGAGTTGGGGGTTCCTTGAAGCTGAGCGGTAGTGAGTGGTAGTTCCTGCCAGGGCTGTTCTAGCGCTGCTGCGGGCATTTGTGGAGTGAATCAGTGAGTGGAAGATCTGTGTGTGTGTGTGTGTGTGTGTGTGTGTGTGTGTCTGCCTTTCAAGCAGAGAAAAGTAAATAAAAATTATTAGAACACAGACATTCATCGCAGGTGCTGGGTCCCCTTGGCAGAGCACGGCCACCATGTGTGCTGGCTCTAGGGAGAGACAGCATCTCCCAGGGCAGGGTGGAACCTTCAGGGTCCTGTCCTTCAACCTCCCTGCACCCTGCACGTTCACTTCTTTAGGAAGTCACCTCTGCTGGAGCACCCGCAGTGATGGGGGGAGGGGCTCACTACTCTTCCCTCCCACTGGGAACAGCAGGGAAGAAAGTGACCATCACGCAGTTGTTATCTTCATGTGAGATGTTAATAAGAACACGGTGATGACTACAGGAGCATTGTTCGGTGTTGAGCAGGTCCTTGCACTCACTCCAGCACAGTAGTTTTCTCCGTATTATCTCATTTAGTGTTTGGAACTGAATTACCGTGCCCCTCCCCAGCCCACTTGGACAAAGACAGGAAGTTCTCAATTTACGAACTAATTGTGCTCCTGCAATTCCTTTGTGAGGCTGCTGTTTGGATGACAGACCGCTGCTCCACGTAAACAATGCTATAAATGGCCCTGGGGGCCCACCCCCCGGGGCCCCACCCCCCCTACTCCACAAGCCCCTTGGCTTGTGTGAAGCTCACCCTTCACACCCGATGGACCTCCACACACTTACAGTAAAGGGAACAGAACGAAGTTGGGCTAGACAGCAGTCCCGAACAGTGCAGGAAAACCGTGATTAGGTGGGGGGACTGTTGGTCATCCACACTGGCTGCTGGAGGAAGCGCCTGCCCCAGAAGGGGCATCCTGGGAACTGGTTTCAAAGCCGGCTCCCTCCCACTGGTAGAAGGAGATAGCGTGCCCCAGAACACTGGATCTGATGGTGGGGATGGTGCAGACTCCGAGGAGTGGGCTGGACCCAACTTGTGTGGCCCCCTACCCTGCACCTCTCCCAGCAAACACCAGGTCCGAGCGCCTGGCACACAGGAAGTGCTCGCTGAATGGTGATTCACACTGTTAAAAATAATGTAAGTGCAGCAAGGTCAGTGTCTGGAGAAGACAAAAAAAGCAAGCAGTTCCCAAGGCTAGGCACTGAGCCCTGCTCAGAACACATGGGCCTCTCCCACCTCACCCTTCCCAGTATCTCCGCCCTGCAGCGAACTGGGAGCTGAAAGGGAGCCTGTACGCCCTCCTACTTCATTGTCACAGAAGGCCTTGGTGAGGGGCCGCTTCAGCCAACCAGGGCAGCCTTGAAGTCTGCTGAAACCTAGGAGGCACAATAGATGCAGGTGGAGTATTCCTTATCCAAAATGCTGCGGACCTCAAGTGTTTTGGATTCCAGATTCCACCCCCCCACTGGGGGATATTTGCATACATGCATACATAATGTGGTCTACTGTGGTCCACTTGCTCCTGTGACAAACCACAGCAGAGAACCAACTCAAGTCCTGGCTGCTCTGCCTCCCATCCAGCTCCAGGCTCATGCATCTGGGAAAGCAGCAGAACATGGTCCAGGCACTTGGACCCCTAACAGCCATGTGGGAGATCCCGATGGAAATCCCGGCTCCTGGCTTCAGCCTAGACCAGTCCTGGCGGTTGTAGCCATTTGAGGAGTGAACCAACTGGCAGATAGAGGATCTCTGTCTCTGTCTCTCTTTCTCTCTGCTCTTCAGGTAAATACTTAAATCTTTTTTAAAAAGGAATTATCTTGAAGATGAGGCCTTGGCTAATCATGAAATTGGTTTTTGTTTCATGTACAACTCACACAACCTGAAGGTAGTTTGCCTGCTGTCTGCACCTGTGCTCTGCCCACCCCCTTCATGTGAGGTCAGCTGTGGAGTTGTCCACAGACCCAAAAGCTTTCAGACTTCGCAGCATTTCAGATGTGGGATTTTCCGAGTAGCTCTGCTCAACCCATGGGGAATTCAGACGACACTGCACAGGCTGTGCCCATAGGTTGTCTCCAGACCTGGCTCGTTCACCCAGAGCGTTGTACTTTGGACAGTCATCTCAAAAACTCACATAGCCACATTTAGCCAAGGGCAGCCACAAAATTCCAGTCCCAGTGTTCAGGTGTTCCCTCACCTGATAGCCATTGTATGATCTAAATGACACAGGTACCAGGGGAAGAAGAAAGATGGGCATATGAGGTCAAGGTTGCATTCACGATGCAGGGAGGGCAAGCCATGTGTGTGTGTGTGTGTGTGCGTGGGCGTGCGCCCGTACCCGTGCGCATACACTGAGAAACTGAGGCTTTGAAATAGTTCAAGTAAGGAAAGGTGGCAAAAGAATCAATCAACCAAGAGTTTTAAAATGAGCCAGGGAAGACCTTTCTCTCTCTCTCTCTCTCTCTCTCTGTCCGTTCTGCCTGTAAAAAAAAAAAAAAAAAAAGCCAGGGGGCCAGCCTTGTGGCACAGCAGGTTAAGCTGCTGTTTATGACACCAACATCCCATATTGGTGCACTAGTTCGAGTCCTGGCTGTTCCACTTCCTATACAGCTTCCTACTAATGCGCCTGAGAAAGCAGCAGAAGATGGGGAAGATGGCCCAAGTACTTGGGGCCCCCGCTGCGCATGTGGGAGACCCATTTAGAGTTCCTAGGTCCTGGCCCAGCTCCAGTTGTTGCAGCCACTTGAGGAGTGAACGAGTAGATGGAAGATGTCTTTGTCTCTTGTCTCTCCTTCTCTTTCAAATAAATATAAATTTAAAAAGTCAAAAGAAAGTGCCAGATTCCTGGCCAGGCTGCAGGGTTGGTGAGACAGCAGGCCATTCGTTTGCTTGTGTGCATGGCAGCCAACTGGACAGCCTGTTAAAATGCAGGTTCCCGGATCCTCCCCCAGCTGCTAAGTCAGAAGCTCCATGGGTGTATTTTTTTTTTTTTTTTTGACAGGCAGAGTGGACAGTGAGAGAGAGAGACAGAGAGAAAGGTCTTCCTTTGCCGTTGGTTCACCCTCCAATGGCCGCCGCGGCTGGCGCGCTGCGGCCGGCGCACCACGCTGATCCGATGGCAGGAGCCAGGTACTTATCCTGGTCTCCCATGGGGTGCAGGGCTCAAGGACTTGGGCCATCCTCCACTGCACCCCCTGGCCACAGCAGAGAGCTGTCCTGGAAGAGGGGCAACCGGGACAGAATCCGGCGCCCCGACCGGGACTAGAACCCGGTGTGCCGGCGCCGCAAGGCGGAGGATTAGCCTAGTGAGCCGCGGCGCCGGCCCATGGGTGTATTTTTAACATGCTCGCCATGCACCTGCTAGAGTGTCAAGCTGGGCAGCTCAGAGGGCTAGAAGAACCCAAGCTTTCAGTCCATAGCTCTGATTTCACAACTTGCTGCCGTCTCCCTGCCATGCGACTTGGCCTCTCCGGGTTTCAGTTTTGCATCGATGAGCTGGGCACAGAAACAGCCACGTTGTGTGGGGCTTATTTTGAGGATTAGTAGCGCACACAAAGCACCCGGGGTGGCGACTAGAACACAATAGATGCTCAGTAGGCCGTAGTTGCGGTTAGGATTTGAGTGCCTGGAAGAGACCAACCTGTTGGCACTGGCAGGCAGGTGAGAGCGGAGAGCAGCCCAGGGGCTCAGCACTTTGCTCTCCACAGCTTCTCAGCAATGGGTCGACCCAAAGCGCACAAGTGTTCCCTGGAGGACAGCACCTTCAGCCTGTACCGTGAACATGGCTTGTCACGCTAGCTCTGAAACATGGAACAGAAGTTGCGAAGGAAGTGGTGCTGTGGGATCCCCCCACACACACTTTCTCCCCTCACCATCCCATGCCTGCTGCCTGAGCTCATCTATACCAGACTGGCGCCTCTCCCTATAGAAACAAAATTTACACAGCTCACTTGGCATTCCAATTCCATCTGTGTGGCTTTGAGAAAACCACACAGCCACTCTGAGACTGCAGTGTCTGCCCCTAACTAGGGAGAGCATGGTGACAGCCATTCATCCATCCTGGGGACGTTCGCTGAGCAGCTACTAGTGGGGCCCTGGCTAACAGTGAGCTGGTAGACCCCGTCCTCATCTCCTCATCGCTGGCGGATAGGCCAATGGGAGAGCTGGGCTTTCAAACCCCACCCCCAAAAATGCAAATGTCTGATTGCAAAACAAAAGCATCTACCTTAGATAGGTCAGGTCATGGTTCTTCCAACACTGTTTTAGCAGCAGAACGCTTTGTTCGACTGAAACCGACACAGGACAAGGTCACGGAAAACAGATCAAAGGGAAGCAGCTCCGAGGCCCCAGAGCTGTCTCCAGGGAGAGCCAGTTCAAGGAACAGAGCTGGAAACCGTGCTGGGAGCGAGAGGTGAGGAAGTGTTTGCGGGTGGCGGAGCCCAGGCCAGGTTCACAGAGAAACAGTGACTCCCCTCCTTCGCTTTGTCCTTTCTCTTTCTCTCATCATCCAGGACCCCCACATCTCTCGGCTGCAGAAGCACTGGCTGCCCAGAAACCCCTGTCCCTCCTGGCTGAGGGATTCCGGGGCGCTGAGCTTCCTGGGGTCCCTGGGAGCGGGAGCCAGGGAGTCTGGGCAGCCAGCGCTGGAAAGCGGCTCACTGCCGAGGCCGATTATCTGATGGAGCGCTTCCTTCATCAGTGCTAATATCCATGTAGCGAAACAATGAAAGGGTTTCCTATCAGTTCCAAATAGGACGTGAAAAACTCTCCGTGCTAAGAGTAGAGGATGCTCGAATAGGGCAATGGGAAACGGCTGAATCACCAGAGGGCCTCTTTGATTCCCACGGCCCAGTCACTGAGAGGGAAGACAGAGAGAGTGGTTCATTAGCTGTGCGAGGGAGGGCGGGGACAGGAAGAACTGGCCCTTCACGTGGGACCTCCCGGATGGCGGATGGCTGAGAGCAGAGAAGCCCAGCTTTGGGGACACCACCCTGAGGAGGAGGCAGAGCCCGCAGCTTCACCCATGCACCTGCCCGGCTCCTCCCACCCCCAGCAGCTGAGCGTGTGTGTGTGTGTGTGTGTGTGCCCCGCTCTGTGGGTAGTTCGGGTTTCCAAGGATAAAATTCCTTTGAAGGAAGCTGGGTGTGTTACTCTGGCTTATATCAGGGACTCCTGCTGAATCTTCCTGGGACAGGGAGGCCAAACCAGCACCGCCTTGCTCAGGAGCTGGCCAGTCCCCTTGGCTTTGCCATCACTCAGATTTGCTGCAGGCAAAATGGGAGAGCCACGCATTCAAAGATTTACCCAGCCTCGATCCACCGAAAGCCTTTTGGCACCAATCTCCCAGGGCCTCTCTAGCCCAGACAAGAAATCTCTTCTTTTCCTTTGCTGGAATATGCTAATCTGCTTGTCCTTAGAAGACAACACATGTGCCAGTGAGGAAGTGCCTGGGGCGTGTGCGGGCCCATCATGCCTTCTGGGAGGGTGCAGCCACAGCCATGGTTATCGGCTTTGGAAATTCAAAAAGAGCCTCTGGTGTCTTCCCCTTCTCTTCAAGGAGCCCGCCTGCGCCAGAGCTGGTGCCTGCCCAAGCAAACCATCAGGCCGGAGTCCAGCTTCCGGAATTATTGGCCTGGTGCTCAGAAACCATTGTCAGGAAAGCCTTGGGTAACCGTCCTCCGTGGTGGGTGCTATGAGACCAGAACCACTCGGAGCCTTCCAGGGTGGGTGCGATGGCAGCTGGTGTCCCATCCGGGACGCAGCCTCACACTGGGAAACCTCAGACCTGCGTGCTGGCGTCTGCTCCAGGTAGAACAGCAGCTTTGCTGAGAAACCTCGCGGTGGTGTCCTGAGCTTTACAGGGCCTATAAGAATATGCACAGGGCGTGTACTTGGTACAGCAGTGAACATGCTGTTTGGGACACCTACACCTCATAACCGAGTGCCAGGGTTCGAGTCCTCGCTCCACTTTTGATCCAACTTGCTGCTAATGTAGCATCCTGGGAGGCAGCCGGTGATGGCACGAGCTCTTGGGTCCCTGCCGCCCATGTAAGAGACCGAGGTGGAGTTCCTGGCTCCTGCCTTCTGTCTGGCCCAACTCTGGCTGTCGCAGGCATCCGGTGGACAAACCAGCCGATGAAAGATCTGTCTCTCTCTGCATTTCAAGTTAATAAAAAATGTAAAATGCATGCATGAAATGCAAACGAACCAAAGGAAGCATCAGTGGGGCTCTCCTTCCACGGCGTGTATGTCTGGGGAGCAGAGAAGGCCCCCAGGGCTCTGTTCCAGAAAGTGCTGTAGGCTCCAGAGAGAAAGGGGCCCCGCTGGACCACAAGTGAGAACAATGCCAGGCGCTCCCCACGCTGCAGGTGTGTGCGTGGGGGACTTCTTCCTGAAGCTCCGGGGTCAGGGGCCGGGGCCCAGAGGCCTGGCTGCGTTTATTGTCCATTGTCCCAGGCTGGGACAGGAAGCACTTTCTGTTCCCAATTGCTCGGGTGGATTAATTTACGGCGGGGAGCTCGGAGTTGGCGCCAGCACCTGTGTTCCCCTCCGAGAGGCCAGCTTCCGGGCTTGGGGGTGTTTCAGGAGGGGTCCCCTCTGCACAGATGTGGCTCCCCCCAACCCCAGCCCTCAGCTACTGCCTCTGCCCCCCTCCCCATGGGGCTCTGGACTCCAGCAGCAGCTCTGGGAATCTGCACCAGCTTGCCCCCTCAACTCTACACCTCCTACCCTCCAAACCAGGACATCTGGTGGGGGGAGGCTTAGCCCTGTGGGGTCCACACCAAAGTGGCCAATAAGGAGCAATGGCAACGAACCCCAAGTGACAGCATCCTGCCTTCTCCTGGGTATCTGCTCACTCCCTGTCATGTTCAGGCTTGGGTGGTGCACACACACTCCTCTCTTTCATTTGGTGGGTATTGTGAGCCCATTCTACAGATGAAGAAACTGCCCTCCAGAGATGTGAGGCACCCAGGTCGTGGATAGAAGTGGTGGGATGCACACTTGGGTCTGTTCTAGGTCTCTGAGCTCTCAGACTCACAGGGCTGCAACGGCAGGAAGCTGTGGGCGTCAAGGAGGACAAGGGGACCCTGCACCATCTCCAGGGGAGAACGGCTCTGCTGCTTACCTCCAGCCCTCTGCAGTCTGGTAGTAAGGTGGGTCCAGTGTGGCCAGACTCTTCCAAGGAATCACCACACTGTCCATGCTAGTAACTCAGTGCATTTCTCATCCCTGGATGGCACGCTGCCCATGGGCCCTGCGTTCCTCCACTGCCCTGTGCCACCAGACCACTGTAGACAGTGAGTACCTGCTGTATCATAGGGGGCTGAGCCAGCGCCTCCCCACCGGGACCCAGTCAGCATGTTCAGATCCTCCACAGATGGCAGGCACTGTGCTCCAAGCAGACTCAGGCTCAAAAGGGCAGCAACCCCCCTTCCCGGGGGTCTCAGCTAATGCAGGCCAGGTAGCTCCTTGGGTCCCCGCCATATCCATCAAAGGACAGAGGAGGAAGACTGGAGTTGGGCGGCAGATGCTGACCCTGACCCTGTTTGTCCAGGCCCTGCCTTCCTTTCACTAGGATACCCTGGGATGGTCACCTATCCCTCACCCACACTCACCACCAGCTGCCACTGCCAGCACAGCCCACTTGCCATGTGTCCCTTTAGGAGCTGTGCCACCACACTTTTCCCACGTAATCTTAGCTCTCTGGTGGCTCAGGACGGCTCTACTCCCCCTCGCTGTGCCCCAGCAGCCTGCCCTTTGAAGGGCCATGGCCACCTCCCCTAGGTGCTGCCTCCCACCCATGGTGGTGGCGGGGACGCAGTATCGCGTGGCCCCGGATGCAGGTTCGCCTGCTGTGCCCCTGAGTGACAGGGCTGCCCTTTGTGGAGGGGGAGATTAGAGGCAGGCTGGAGGCTGCGCGGCCCTCACAGGGCTGACAGGAGACGTCAGCCCGGCACGCCGCCTGCCGCCCAGCCTGGGGGGAGAGGGGGGCTCTTGACAGGCCTGGAGGGGGTCCAGGAGGGAGCGCCAGGGAGGGGCCGGCTCCTCACACACAAAGACCGGGCCTGTCTTCACACCTGCGGGACACGCAGAGCCCAGGGCTGGGGGAGCGCAGGCCGTGGGGAATGAATAATTCGCTCTGAAAGAAGCATGTCACGGGGAGATAGCTCAGCCAGACACTTCAAATAAAGGCGAGCAGCCGCGGTGACAGGGGACATTCTTTGCCGCCGATGCGCTGCAGGGACCTAAGTGCTGCGATGTCGAGAGTGGAGCCTTGAACCCTTCAGAGTTATTTTTATTAAAAAAAAAATGAGAAAGAAGAAAAAAAATCCCACCGCAGAAGCAGGGCTGAGCGTCGGAGCCCTGAGAAAGGCCAGATAATGAGTGCTGGCACCTTCATTCTACCTTTGTCACAGAGAGCCACACTTCCTGGACACACCTGGAGAGCCAGGGCTGCCTGCTCTCCCCGCCTCTAAACCTCCGGCCAGGCTGTTCCCCGCCTGGAACGCCCTCCCACCCTGCATCCTCTCCTCAGAATCCTGCCCAGATTCCAGGACTGACTCAGAACCCCCCAGCTCCGGCTCCCCAAATTCCAGAACCAGCTGAGGATCACAGCACGCAGCCGGCCGCCCCAGCTTCTCTCGCCCTCCTCGCTTGGTGTCTAGGCGTGTGACGGTATCTCTTGACGTATTTATCTCACCCAGCCAGCCAGGATCGTGTTCACTCCTATCCCATACCCAGAGATGACCACTTGCTAAATGTCAGCCCACAAAGACAGTCATAGTGAAGGCCACAAATCACAGGGCCACAAGTACTAGGATTGTCGTGAGGAAAAAAAAAGAAAAAAAAAAAAAAACCTTGGGGCCAGTGCTTTGGTGCTGGCATCCATATGGATGCTAGTTTGAATCCTGGCTGCTCTACTTATTTATTTATTGACAGGCAGAGTGGACAGTGAGAGAGAGAGAGAGACAGAAAGAAAGGTCTTCCTTTACCGTTGGTTCACCCTCCAGTGGCCGCTGCGGTCAGCGTGCTGTGGCCGGTGCACCGCACTGATCCGAAGGCAGGAGCCAGGTGCTTCTCCTGGTCTCCCATGCGGGTGCAGGGCCCAAGTACTTGGGCCATTCTCCATTGCCTTCCTGGGCCACAGCAGAGTGCTGGCCTGGAAGAGGGGCAACCGGGACAGAATCCGGCACCCCGACCGGGACTAGAACCCTGTATGCCAGCGCTCTACTTCTAATCCAGCTCTCTACTATGGCCTGGGAAAGCAGTAGAAGATGGCCCAAGTCCTTGGGCCCCTGCACCTATGTGGGTGACCTGGAAGAAGCTTCTGGCTCCTGGCTTCAGATTGGCACAGCTCCAGCCATTGTGGCCATCTGGGGAGTGAACCAACAGATGGAAGACCTCTCTCTCTGCACCTCTCTGTAACTGCCTTTCAAATAAATAAATAAATCTTTGAAAAAAAGTTCATAGGGAAAATGCAACTAAATGTTAAGTTGATTTTGGTGCAAAACTTCTGCATTATTTTTTGTAATATGCATTTCCATGAACTTTTTGAAGACTTTCGGTATTTGAGTATTATCTTAATTTTTATATTAGGTATATGCATTTCTTTTTTAATTTAAAAACACATTCTTTCTTAAAAATGCATTTATTTATTTAAGAGATAGACAGAGATAGAGCTCCTCCTGTCTGCTGATTCTCTGCCCAAATGCCGGCAACAGCCAGGAGTGGGCCAGGAGCCAGGACCTCGTTTACTTGAGAGATCACCACTGCTTCAGGATCTGCACGAGCAGGACGCTGGAGTCAGGACCCAGAGCTGGGAATCCAGCCCAGGCCCTCCAGTATGGGATGCAAGCAACTCAACAGCTAGGGTAGATGCCTGCTCCCTAAAAACCTGTTCTTAACCCATGCGGTTCAGCAACACGCAGCCCTTCCCCAAGCAGGGACTCCGAGGCCTGGCTTTGGTTCAGTCAGAAGAGGGCTAGGGAGTCGGTGGCGGGAGCTCCAGTGATGGACATAGGAAGGGCCAGCACAGGCCTTGGCCATCATCCTACGTCCCAGGGATGCAGCGCTGCCTGCACACCTCCCTACCGGCACCGCTGGTGCCAGAACAGGGTCACATGATGCCACGGTTCGAGTGTTCCCCAAGATTTCACGTTAATCCCCTTGTTTACATGTTGATGGCCTTTAGAGGTGAGGCCCTCAGGGTGTGACTCGGATCAGGTGCGGTTCAGAGGCTGGGGCCCCACAAGGGCTCCACGATGCCGTGAGTGGTTTCAGCTCACCACCCCGGGGATGCCCTCCACCTCGCTGGGATGCCACGAGTCGGCCTGTTTCAGACTTCCAGCCCCTAGAGCCATGAGCCGAACACACCAGTCGGGGCGCCGGATTCTGTCCCGGTTGCCCCTCTTCCAGGCCAGCTCTCTGCTGTGGCCAGGGAAGGCAGTGGAGGATGGCCCAAGTGCTTGGGCCCTGCACCCCATGGGAGACCAGGAGAAGCACCTGGCTCCTGCCATTGGATCAGCGTGGTGCGCCGGCCGCAGCGTGCCAGCCGCGGCGGCCATTGGAGGGTGAACCAACAGCAAAGTGTCTCTCTCACTGTCCACTCTGCCTGTCAAAAAAAATAATAATAATAAAATAAAATAAATCACCCGGCCTGTGGCATTCAGTTCCAGAACAGAACCCGTGGGCAGTCCAACTACCAGGGATCTGGGAAGTGGGGCAGGGTGGAGTGGTAGGTGTAACCCAGGTGTAGCCCAGTAGGGCCGAGTGGTAGGTGTAACCCAGGTGTAGCCCAGTAGGGCCGAGTGGTAGGTATAACCCAGGTGTAGCCCAGTAGGGCTGAGTGGCAGGTGTAGCCCAGGAGGCCTCTTCTGAGCCAGAGGGCCTCCCACTCACTTCCTTTTCCTCTTGCTGTGAGTTGACGGCGACCTGGTCCCTTGGTGGCTCCCTCTTCCATGGCCCTGGTGTCCCCTTCTTCCCATCCCCTCCCCTGTCTGCTCAGCCCTCAGCTGTCCCAAATGAGAGCTTTTTTCGTTGCCTTCCAAACCACAGCTCTTCCCCTCCCAGAATATTCTAGAAAGGCATTTTTCTAAGGAAAGCTGGTTCCCTCCAGGAGAAGGAGCCTGGTGCTGGTGACCCAGACTCAGTATCCGTCTCGGGACACTTGGATTTTTTTCTGCCCTAAGCATCAGAGTGAGTGCAATGTTTGGGGCCCAAGTGAAAAGTACTCGGTTCCTGAAACAGGAAATCAACCCCGTGGATCCAGCAAGAGGAACGGCAGCCCGGGACGCCCAAGCTGAAGTATCAGAGGTAACCGCAGACCGCAGGGGATCTCGGGGCAAAGAGTCGCCAGTTCTATGTTGACTGAATGTCGGGGTTTTTCTCTTGGCGTGGTCCCTCGGTGGGTGCCAGCAGGTAATACTAAGCAATAGTGACTCGCCTTACGTTCAGGTTTCCTCAGTTCCCCTTCGAAAGCTTTAAGATATTCAGAGCAGGAGCAGGCGCTGTGGCTCAGCAGATGAAGCCACGGCTGGAGTGTCTGCATCCCACACTGCAAAGTCTAGTTCCAGCCCTGGCTACTCCGCTTCCCATCCAGCTTCCTGTGACTGTGCTGGAAAGACAGCAAATGATGGCTCCAGTGCTTGGGCCACTGCCATCCGTGTGGGACACCTGGATAGGGATGCAGGCTTCTAGCTTGGGCCAGGCCCAGCCCTGGCTACTACAGGCATTTGGGGAATGAACTAGCACATGGAATCTCTCTCTCTCTCTCTCTCTCTCTCTCTCTCTCTGCCTTTCAAAGAAAAATTTACAAATATAATGCATTGCCGCCTGCAATGGTGCTGTCCCATATAGGAGGCGATTCGAGTCCCTGCTGCTCCATTTCTGATCCAACTCCCTGCTAATGGCCTGGGAAAAGCAGAGAAAAACAGCCAAAGTGTTTGGGTCGCTGCCTCCCATGTGGGAGACCCAGATGAAGCTCCAGACTCGTGGCTTCGGCCTGGCTGTTGGAGCCATCTGGGGAGTGGACCAGAGGATGGAAGATATCTCTCTCTGTAACTTTAACATTCAAATAAATGTAAGTCTTTAAAAAAAAATACCTAGCAAGGTGCGAGAAGCTCTGTAATGAGTTTTCTTGACCATGGTTGGGATTCTCCACCAGCACTCCACCCTCCCCGGCCCCTGGCCTTTTCCTGACCTGAGTCATCTGCAGGAAACTCACCTTTCCTCTTGCTGCCCATTGCACTCACCTGGGGACTTTTTTTTTTTTGGCCTTTGAAGAGGCAGAAAAGCAGACAGCTAGCTCCCAGGAGTTGGTTCACTCCTGGCCCGATGGAACAACTGAGGAAGCGACAGCTAGGAAGGAGCCCTGGGGGGAGGCCTGGGGCTGTGCCGCGCTGTGTGAGCCCTTGAAAGAGAGTGAAGAGCCAGTGGGATGGGGTCCGTGAGGCCCCTAGAAGAGGCCAGGGCCATTTCATCTGAGCATCATGTTCCCAAAGGACCCTGGATTTCGACTTTTTTTTTTTAAATACCAAGTGTTTTTATTATTATTTTAATTTGAAAGAGTGACTAAGGGAGACAGAGAGGGAAAATATCTTCCACCTGCTGGTTCACTCCCCAAATGGCTGCAAAGGTCAGGGCTGGGCCAGGCCAAAGCCAGGAGCCTGGAACTCTATCTAGGGTCTCCCACATGGGAGGCAGGGACTTAAGCACTTGGGCCATCTTCCACTGCCTTCCCAGGTGCATTAACAGGGAGCCAGATCAGAAGTGCGGAAGCCTGGACCCTAACCAGTGCCCATATGGGATGCTGGCGCTGCAAGCATCCCTATCACAGTGCTGGTCCAAGACCTTTTTGTATTACCTCCACGTGAGGTCACACCTCTAGTCACTGTACACCATGTCTCCTACAGGACTTACCCATGCAGGGGAAACACACCAGACGCCACCTTGCCCTTGTCACTGTCTGATGTTCTAGAAGGCTCTGTACATGGAGATCAAGGTCCTCAGGGAGCACTCCCTGCCTGTGCATCTCCTTCCCCTGCTCAGTGTGGCCTCCCTGCCTTCGTGCTGGCCCAGGCCCCCCGGAAAGAGCTGATGGAAGTGTGGTCATGCCATAGTCTCCTCTTCCCAAAAGCTCAGTCCCAGCCACTGTCCCCCATCAAAGGCCATCAGGATGCCACCAGAGCAGCGTCCACAGGGCTGGGCTCCAGCCTGCAGCCCTGCTGGGCTTCTCTTCCCTGAGCAGTGGCTGCCCCCGTGAGGGCGAAGGCAGCCTGGCCCCGCCGTCTCTGTGCAGGGGACAGCTGGAGTGAGGGGAGTGCCAGCTGGGTGCACAGGAAGCTTCTGGCGATGGGGCAGCCTCTGGGAGGCTGTGTGGGGCCAGCATCCTGGGGCAGCAGGGGAGGGACGCCTCAGCCAGGCAGCCCTTGGGAGGCCAGCGTGGGAGAGCTGGAGGGCGGGGCAGGCCAGGAAGGATCTTTTTGCTGTTGCTTGTTCTTTTTGTTTGTTTTATCTTTCTTACCAAAGACCTGAAGCCCCCATAAGCATGAACAATGCGGTAATGACCCCTGACTCATGGTCACTCAGCATCAACAACCCAAAGCCAGCAGCTCCTTCGTGGACTGCGGCTGCCTGGTGCCCCACCCCACCCAGGCCGTGGTATTTTGTGGCAGATGCCCCTGGTCACAGCATTTCGTTTGTACATGTTTTTGCTGTGTTTCTCTAAAAGAGAAAAGGAGCAGAGAGAGAAAGAGAGAAGGCTCGGCCAAGTACCGGCTTTTACAGCAGCTCTGTGTGAAGAATTCTATGTAGAGAGGGAGAGCCAAGAATCTACCAGTGACTTTAAGACCACCCCAGGGGCCAGGCCTTTGATGGAGGACTTTTGGGGGTACTCAACCCAGCTCAGCACTCACAGGATGGGGGTTTGTGTAGAGACCACGTGTCGGGTGAGGGCCGCATACAGGGTGAGGAAGAGGCTGAGGCATGACACATCTGTCGCCTGCGGAGGGGACAGAGGTCAGGCCCTAGCTACCTCCATGTGCGAGGGCCACCAGGACTTTGTTTAAAATCAAGGAAATGCCAAACATGGTTATGGAAGCGGTCGGATATTTAAAGCGTTTCCATTGAACACATGAAAGCTGTTGCCAGGGGAGAGAAGGCTGCAGTGTAATCATGGTCACATAAATAATTAGAAATTTTATGTAAGAACGTATGCATGTGGCAATCTGGTGCCGCTCTACAAGGAGCGGGTGCGGGAGCTTGCATTTAAAGCTGAATGAGAAAGTCTGTCTTCTTTCAACGCTGTCCGTGGATCTCTGGTTCTAGCTTCAACCTCCTTGGTGCTTTAACTTTTTCTTAAAGTAAATTTTATTTTTCGAGCAGTTTTGGGTCCACGGTAGAACTGAGCAGAAGCTGCAGAGAGTTCCCTTACGCCCCTGCCCTACAGTGCACCAGGTCCCCCAGCAGAGTCCTACGCTGGATTCAGTCAGGGAAGTGACACTGACCCAGAGCACACAGGATGGAACCAGGCTGAAGTCAGGAGCCAGGAGCTACATCCTGGTCTCCTCCAGGGTGGCAGGAAGCCTAGTACTGGGGCTGCCTCCCAGACACATTGGCAGGAAGCGGGATCGGAAGCAGAGGCAGGACTTAATCCCAGGCCATCTGATAGGAGATAAAGTTGTACCAAGGGGTGGCTCCACCCATCGCACCACAATGCTGCCCCTTGGTGCCTTCACCCTGTGGGCTTTGACACAGATGAGACGACCTGTGACCTCCATTGCAGAATCCTTTAGGACAGTTACATTGCCCTGAGACGTACACCTCCTCTCCTCTCCACGCCTCCCTCCCTCTCCCCAGCCCCTGGCAGCCCCTGGTTGTTTATTATTATTATTATTATTATCTCGTAGTTTTACGTCTTTCAGAACGCCATGTGGTTGGGACTGTCCAGTGTATAGCCTTTTCAGAATGGTGTCTTTCACTGTGTAGTGTGTATTTATAGTTCTATGTTTTTTCACGGCTTGATGGCTCGTATCATTTTGTCACGGAATACTATTCCGTTGACTGGTTGTAACACAGCTTGTCCATTTGCCTACCGAAGGATACCTTGGTGGCTTCCAGGTTTGTGCAGTCATTAATAGAGTGGCTCTAGCCAACCCTTGTAGGTTTTTGTGTAACATAAGTTTTCATTCAGCTCCTTTAGATGAGCACCAAGGAGCACAGTTACTGAGTGGTACGGTGAGAATGTGCTTAGTTTGGTAAAAATCCTTCAACCTGCCTTCCAATGTGGAAGGTTACACCATTTGCTTCCCTCTAGCAACAAAAAGAGTTGCTGTTGCTCCACATTCTCATCAGCGTCCTGGGTGTCAGTGTTTTACCATTTGGTGTGTGGCTGTACCTCATGGTTGTACTTTGCATTTCCCTCATGACATAGGATGCTGGACACATTTTCATATGTTTTGCTGTCATCTATAAATTTTCTCTGGTGAGGTGTGCACCCAGGTCTTTTGCCTATTTTTTTAGTTGTTTATTTTATTGTTGGGTTGCAAAGTTTTGTGTCTATTTGGGGTAGTAATGCTTTGCCAGGTGCACTTTTACAAATACCGACTCCCATCCTGTGGCTTGTGTTTGTATTCCTCTTGATACCCAGCCTCTTTCGAGGAGATTTGGAGACCCACCAGGTGCAATGGGGGTCACCCCTCCTCCACCCCATGCCCCCAGTGTCCTTGAAGAGAAAAGCAGGTGGGGGTCACCCCTCCTCCACCCCATGCCCCCAGTGTCCTTGAAGAGAAAAGCGGGTGGGGGTCACCCCTCCTCCACCCCCATGCCCCCAGTGTTCTTGAAGAGAAAAGCAGGGTGTGTGCAGGAAAGAGCTTGATGTGGCCCAGAGGGAGTGGGAGACCTGAGGCTGAGCCTGTGGAGACATGTCACTCACTCAAGGGAGACGCAGGTGCAGCCGAAGGCCTGCAGGGAAGCGTGTGCGGGGAGGAAAGGGGCACCGGAAGTCGAGGAGAGAGCAGGAGACAGCCTGGCACAGGCTGGGAGACCCAGGGAGGTTGCTGTCCCCGTGGCAGCCTGGGAAGTCCTGCAGGCTGAGCGCCTGCCAACCTTGTCGGGACAGGTGGACCCCAGAGGCAGCTGGCTCAGAGATAAGCTCCAACGAAGACCGCGCAATTCAGACGCTGTCACTAGGGGTCCTTCTTGCGCTGCCCGTGCGGCAAGTCACTTGGCCATCAGCCCTGTCCACAACAGCACTGGCAGACCCCAGTGAGCCCATGCCAGTGTCAGTTGCACCATGCTCACCTATGCCACCCTTTCTGGGAAACTGAGACCTTTCAAAAACCCACCCTCCCAATGTAAAGCATTCCTGGTCCCGGCGCCCAGGGAGAGGGTGTCACATTCTAGGGGGCAGCCTTCACTTAAATATTCCCTGACTCAGCAGGACAGGCCGGTGTGAGGATAGTCCCCGAGACTGTTTGCTTCCCCGTTTCCTTTTCAAACCCCTACACCACCAAAAACAACCAAAGAAGCCAGCCCGGAGCCCCGCCTGTCTCTGTGGGCGTGAGTCCTCTCCTGGTTCACAAAGCTTCGCCCACGGTCAAGGCAGGATGGTGACGCTGTACCAGCGGGCCCAGAGGCAGCCCCAGCTCGCTGAGCATGAGGTCTCAGAAAGAAAATCTTGGGCACATTTTCTCAGCTCCCCCCATCTATCTAAAAATAAACCAAATCAGGAACTGCCTTGTCGCAGCCCTGGTTCAGGACAATTTCTGGACCCATTAAGGCCCAGCGTCCCCACAGGGGCTCATCTCGGGCACCAGTGATCAGGCGGGTGGATGCTGTAAGAGAAGAGGCTGGCAGGGGTGAGGATGGTGGGCAATGGAAGATCGGTCTTGAGCCGCCTCTGAGTCACCAGCCTGCAGAGTCACGGGTAGGCTTGCAGAGCCAAGGGAAGGAAGCGCAGCCACACGTGGGCCGTGTCCCCATGACAGGCAGGCTGAGATCCCCGGGGCTCCAAGGTCTCCTAACCTCGGGTGGACATGGGGCCCACCAGCACTGGGAGCCTCTGTCTGGGTAATCTTTCTGTGCCTGGAATTCTGCCATTGAAGGTTCTATAGCAGCTAATACAGCCCCGACGTGTACCTGCCTTTGATTCCTGCCTCTGGCCCCTGACTCCAGCTTCCTGCTCTTGCAGGAGCTGGGAGACAGCAGTGATGCGCAAGTACTTGGTCCCTGTTACCCATATCAGAGATCTAGGTCAAGCTCCTGGCTCCCAGCTTTGGCCCTGGCCGTTGTGGGCATTTAGAGAAAGCCAACAGATGGTATTTCTGTCTTTGTCTGCCTACCTTTCAAATAAATAAATAATTCTTAAAGACTCTATTTTCTCTAAGCACATACACAGAAAAAAAAAAAAAAAAAAAAAAAAAACACTGGAATAAGCCTGACTGCAGATGGAAGATCTCTCTCTCTGTCTCTCCCTCTCTCTCTCTGAAACTCTTTCAAATAAAGTATATACATCTTTTTTTTTTAAAGGGAGGGAATAAAAAAACTCTTGTTCCCCTTTCCTTCTCTCTCACGATCAGTGA